TAATAGAACTTCTAACATTTTTAGCATTTTTTTCTTGACAAGTTCCTTCTATTTTTGGTTCCACATAGCCACTCTGAGCTTCTCTTTCACAGTCAGGATTTATGAAATACAATACTGGTTGTATTAATGATTGTAACAAAGTGATGCTATTAAAGGCTTTAATTACATACATATAGGGGTTTTTTTATGGTCAGGAGTTAAACAAGGAAGGTCAGAGAACCTTTATTTATGGACTTTTTTTTTTTTTTAAGTCAGATACAGCTTGTTCAGTTTTAAGTTCTGTCTTGTATGAAGACATACCCTGCCAAATTCACTGTGAATTTTACAGAACAATACAGATAATATTATCCAAAACAGGCATTTTGCTTTGTATCTTCAGTTGTGTCTTCATTATATCAAGGATGCTTACAAAGGAAAAGAAAAATTGCTACTCTGCTTAATTTTCTAATTTGTGGTTTCAAATTCTAGTAACATCTTTGTAATACCACAGTCAGAACTGGTTCAAACCTACTGAAGTGAAGAAAGAATATTAGAATCTAATCTCTGCATTTGTGACCTAATTAGTATTTTCTTATCATATAGCCTTAGTTACTCCTCTCTTGTGTTTTTCCATCTTTTTACCCTTGGGTGGTCACAATCTTCTGGTGACCTTCGGAGAAGGGCATATGCCCCTGAACTGGAAAATGGAAGCCGAAGTAAAATTAGTAATAGTTGCTGAGAAAGAAGGCAAGTGGAAAGAGCATTTCTAATTTACAGATAATTTAACACAGGAGGGAAGGAAAAGCTATTTTCTGTGCTGACTTATTTTTGTCTGGAACCCAAAATCTGTTTAGGGGGCTGTGAAACGTGTTAACTGAAGCAGTTAAATCCTCAGGAAAACTTGTGGCTGGTAGTTGAGGTTGTTTTTTTTAGTTTCTATTATGTGTTTCATTATCTGTTGATTGTGTGAACAGTTGCTTTCCCTGGGGTGTGGAATTGCTTGCTGTTTTGAATTTGAACAAAGTAGCTATAAATAATTTTTAGAAGCCATGATATAAATTAATAAAATCAACACTATGTATGCAATTGTTTCACAACTGGTTGTATTCTTGTCATCTTGTTATTGGACATACTGCTGCTCTTAGCACTAAGAAAGCTTAACTTTTAACTTTCCATACTGGATCATACAAATTATTTCAATAAAAAGCAACAGCAAAATACTGTGTGAAAAAAACCCTGTCAGAATCTTATATCCAAAAGGTAAAAGGGGAAAACGTCATCTTCCTTTCTATGTAAGCTACAATATTTTCTCCTTGCAAGGTTGACTAGACTCCTGAATTTAAAAATTGAATTGAAATTCTTGCAGATGTAAATTAAATTATAGAAGCCTTGGATGCTTTTAATACAAATATTTAATATCTTTTTAGTTTTTTAAGTTTGTGAAAATCTTTGCACTTCCTGTGACAATGATAGCTGCTTTTTAATAATGTTGTAATGGTTCAGACACGCACTCTAAATGGATTTGGATTAATTACTTTGGGTTAGTTTGGGGTTAGTCAAGAAAACTTTGTTCTTTTGTTATGGGCAAAAGCTTGCAAGAAAGAAAGATTCATGATCTATCTGTAATTTAAATCAACCATTATTTTATATGCTTATTTCAATTTATCTTCAATTAACCTCACTTCTGAAGTAAGCAATGTTGCTCTCTTACCTCTATGCTGGCCGCTGTAGCAGGTACAGACATGAGACCTTTCTATATTGCTCATGAACATCTTTTTTACTGCTAAATATATATAGAATGCTTATCTTCACCTTCTCTTCCCACCTTACATACCAGACCCTTTGATTTAAAGGGAGCTGATTTGCTTTTTGCTATGGACAAGCAAGTCCGTAACATCCTCCTGTGTGTGTGCTACAGCACGTCAGAAGAAGAAAGCCTAATCCTTACAAGTGCTATTACTTCTAGTCTAGTCAATATGTTAGATATTTTCTGTAGCATGGTTGCTGATATTATTTGAAATCATGTTGCAAAGTACTGATCTATCAGTTACTACAGTAGTTCTTGTTTCTCTAAGCTTTTTATGTGTTTTATATAAAATTACTACTGAAATTTTTCAGTCAAAATTCAAACACTTTTCTGCTTTCTGATCCTTTTTTCAGAAGAAGATACTAAACTGCTGTAAATCAATAGCTTTTCTTACATCAACCAAAAAGCTTCCATTTAATTAAGAGCCAGAAATCTTGATTGAAATACCTTGTGATTTTAATTTTTATATTGAGAAAATTTGAAATGGGAGAAAAAATGATTGCTTAGAATAGTCTATATTAATTCTATATTAAACATTCCTACTGATACTGACTTAGGGTACTTAATATTCTGGGATTCATTTACTGTTTGCACATGTGACCAATCTTGGCTTTCTACTCTGACACTGCTGCTCTGAATTTCTGGACTGTATTCTGTTCATAAAGTACGGGTGTTCGTGTGTGATGCTTAGGGTAATACAGGGTTTTCTGACTTTTCTGGCTGTGATTTCATTTTAGCAGTCTGAAGTTGACAGAAAGAGAATCACAGACTATCTTGAGTTGGAAGGGACACATCAGGGTCATTGAGAGATGATAATTGGTGCAGTGCACAGTCTGCTCTTCAGAGTCCAAGGAATAAGCAGTTGGAATTTATCAGCCAATTGAAAAAGACTAGGGAATTTGTCATGATGGGAGAGCTGAGGCATGACCCTCTGTAGGGAAGAAGGCTTTTGGGAAGAGGCAGATGGCACTAAAATTTCTGCAAGGACTTTGGTAGTTTTAATTTTTTCTGTATGAGGGTAGATAGGTGAGGCAGACCAAGGAGTCCTGTCAGTCAAAATAGCTGAGAAGGGAATAATTTGGTGGCTTCATTGCCAGAAATGCATATTTTAGCCAGGTCCTCGGAAGCAGATTATGTGACGTATCAGCTGAAATGTGGCCTGAGAACAAAGTAATTTGAATGTTGCAAAGAAGAAAGAGAAAGTTTAAAGGTTTATAGCAGAGAAACACTTCAAGAGGCGGTGTCTCTGGCTTCTAAGCCCATGGGTTATTTAAGGGACTCCGTGGAGGGTGACTAAAAAGCTGAAATTGGTGTAGGTTGTGTCACTGTCCAGATGTGTGAAATTTCTAAATAGTTGGTGAATTCAGAAATAATTCTGAGGAGTCAGAGGATTGCCCTGCAGAGGGGTGTGCTGCTTACAGCCATTCCTCGCTCCAGCCATCGGTGCCTGTTTCTCTGGCTATTCTGCCTGAACCAGTTGGGAAACTGGGAAGTGTTTCCTTCTTCCACTGAACAGCATAGGATGTGATCTAGTGGTATCTAATGGTGCCAAGAGCAGCAGGAGTGCAGGGCAGCAGGTGCACTCAGCTGAGCACTTGGATGGGAGATGGGAACGGCTCAGCATGGCGCTGGCAGCAGGATTTTGGGATGTGCCATATGCATACAGAGATGCTTGCAAGGAATTAGAGTGAATTCACACCACACCAAATATCTATTTGTTTGACTTTCCCTTTCTGATACTGTTGATCATTGCTCAACAAGAAGGAGACAGTTGGGAATTTCCCTAGCCTGACAAACATTGAAGAAATGAAGGATTTAAAGGAGTATCCAAAGTCATACAGAAAGTGCTTAATGTGTTTGAATGAAATTATCAGTGTGTCTAGCTATTCCTCTTTGAAGAGATTCTGGTTTAAGTATTTTTCTACTGCTTTTAAAATTTATTTTCCCAGGGCTAAATGGATTGTAAGATTTTGTTTCTCTCTCAAATTTGATCGGAATGGCCCAGAAGATTAAAAATTCTAAAGGGTGCAGGATGACTGCACCAGCCTTACTTTGATGGGAAAATTAACTTTTTCAGTAAAAACTGTGTATGCATGTGCATGAGATTAATCAGATTAAATGCACATTCTGTACCATATGATTATTTTTTTAATATCAGTGAGGAAAGCATATGACTAGTAATATTTTTTTTTTGGAGGGGGGATGGGTAGGGTGTTTGTCAGGGTCTCACGTACAATGTAGCTGTTATCATACCTTAGCTGCCAGGTGCAATTAATGATACTGGAAAATTATCACCTTAAAAACTGGCATTTGTATTAGTCAGAATATCCAGCTGTAGGTCATGATATAAAGTGTATCATCTGTTATCTGCTTCATATTTTGTGATGCAAGGTTTTTTAATTCTATGAACCAGATGGACTATGTCGAGTAAGGCTTCAGCCTTACTTTATGAAAATTAATCTCCATTATGTCTTTGTGCTTTGGTCAGTGTGAGCATATGCATAAGGTGCTTTCAGTAATTTCTGATGTGTGTCATTCAGCAGTGCTGCTCACGGGTCTCTTGGTAGCTTTCCTTCCATTTGCTTCTGGTAGCTGCTAAGAGGCAAACCGTGTTCTGTCAGCAGGTGCTGGGAAGAGCAGGCAGCACAGTGCCAAGCAGTTGCTCTCAGCAGAGTCCATCAGGTGAGGCTGACTTTTGATGTGGAAGTCTGTTGTGTGAAGCACAATGCAACATGTCCAAAAGCATTAAGATAAATTCTGGGAATTCTGACCAAGAGAGTGGCTGCACATTTTCCAGCAGAAATGCAGGAACAGATTTCTACCAGTCATAATCTACAGGCTTGTCTTCTCCCGAGTGGAATTGTGATTAGTTCCTGCAGATAAGATTTAATTACTTTTCTTTACTCATTTGTTGTATTGGCTTGGGTTTGTTTTTATCACCCATTTATGATTTTACAATATTTCTTGTTTTGCAATAATTAGATTTGCCAGTACATATTTGTGCCCAGATCACACTGATATGAGCAAGGTGGAAGTAAGGTAAATAAAGTTGGTACTCTGTAGGTAGAAAGATTTGATCCTACCCTACTAGCCATAGTTTAAATGTGAAGCCTTATTTTTTCTCAGCTGAGAAGTGCTGCCACTAATGGAAGTACTTGCTTTATTTTTAGGCACTTTTATGCATAAGTGCCTGAGTCGTGGAAATTTAGGCACGATGACGGTGGAAGTCGTGCTGCAGGACTGAAGCACAGCTTCAGGGGAGACAGCAGAAACACTGCAGCTCTTTACTAAATATGTGGTGCACATCATAAGCTTTCAGTGATTGATAGCTTCTGCTGTTTTTAATATAGTACTCAGTATTTGCATTAATATTCAATGTACCTGGTCATTGAATCGACTAGATCTGTTTATGCCACTGGCCACGTGTCCTCTTTGTTCATGATCAAAGCAGAATTGTGCAGGTCATGGTGTCTGTCTCTCTCTCTCTCCTAGCTGAGGTTTAAACACTGCAGGGTGCTGGGCACATGCCTCTGGCGACTCCAGTCTCTCAGCAGCCTGTGCTGCTTCACTTGTTTGTACCAGCCAGGTTCGGTGTCTGTACCTGTGGAGCGATGCTTCCGTAAGCACTGGTTCAGGTACACCTGGTGGCACCAGAGCCTGGCAGTGACATGATCTACCTGTGGGCAGTGATGCCCCATGCCACAGCATCCCTCTGCAGCACAGGAGACATTTGCATATTTGCATTCTTCTCAGCAGTTCTGCTCCTGCTGTAGCACTGTCAGGAAGGAGAGTGTATGCGATTGTTATTTGCTCTTTTCTGTTACTGTTCTGCTCACTGTGCCTGCAGTCAGTGTGGGCCTAGTGACTTGCTCTGCTCGGATGAATGGCCACAGGCCTTGGCATCCACATTTTTGTGTAGTTAAACTGCTCTGATTGTGGGAAGTACAGAAATGCTGCTGCCTCGATTTAATTTCCAGAAGTACATCTGAATGTAGTGATAGATTCTTCCTGTTGTATGTTTCAAATGTAAATTGCTTGCAGAAAAAGTATTATAGCATCTTTGTTTTCTGTATGGCATTTGGGCAAAATGACTTTTAATCAGGTGGCAGCCCCTTGAGTCAGCTGGACACCAGGGAAGTCTGTTCTTCTGTAAGATGCTACCAGAGGGAGATCTCGTGGCCTAAGTTAGTTACTTTGCCATCTGTTAGAAATCAAGTCTGAGTGAAAAAGGTCGTAAAGTCAACAGACATTAGATATTGAATAGTACACCTCAGAGTCTTATGCCAATTATAGGGAACTATTTTGAATATAAATTAATGATCTGTGGCCGAATGCATTGCTCTTATTTTTTACGTGTAGTCCTTCTTTCTAATGTAATAATACCCAGCTGTGATTATTCCTTCAGGGAAGATTTAATTTCCCAGTTACTCATGAGTCAATCTGTACTCAGCTGACTTAGATTAGATCTCCTTGCCTTTACCATGTAGGAACTGGAGAAGACTTAAGTGGAATAAACTGCTTTGCACCTTTGTATCTCCCTATAAGAGGGTGTGTGTATAAGCAGGCTGTGTATGTATATAAAATAAGGACTGCAGATGTTTTTTTTTAAATGAGCACATGTTGGAAAGTGCTAGGTCTGGGAACATCAAAAGAGCATGGCTTTTTCTTTCCAGCAGTACACAGCAGATTTTTTTCTTACCTTTTTTCTTTATGCTTTTGATGAAATTGCACCATTTTCTTTAAATGGGAAATTTCTAAACTGCAATGTTATCTCCACTTGCAATATTTGTAAGCATTACTATATAATTACAAATTCACAAAGTTTACCACCTGATACGAATAATGACTTGGTGGTATTACAAATCTTGCCATTGGAAATTAAGTGTTATCTCTTCCTTTCAAAATTCTCAATAGAACATGGAGTACTGCACTGAGAGGAAGGGAAGTTGAAGGATGCAGCATACAGGCACAGAATTCCCATTTGTAATTCAGCTATGTAACAATATGGAATAATTCCTTATTTCTTATCACCATTTATTTCAGGTATATTGCAAGCTCATGGACCAGCAGATGTTAATTCCATCAGTTCTTAGCAGTTTAATTCTTCTCTCATTTCTAATATGGAACCTTTTGCTACCTGCCATTGTAGACACTGGTGGGTAAAAAGACTTGGAGAGAAAGGATAAAGTATATTAATAAGTTTCAAGAACTGTATGTGTACAGTCAGAATTTTGGTTGATTAATAATTTCAAGTGTCTTGGGATATGACCTTCAAACCACCTTTTCTGATAAATTCTGAGTACTCTGCCTTGTAAGTACCACTTGTAAAATACCACAGAGCATCCACAGAGATCTGCAATATCATTAGCTTACAATATATGACCATATGTTCTGTGCCAGGTAATGTGTTTTCAGACATGTTACTTGCACATCAGCCCTTCTATTTGACAGATCTATCATTTTGCTAATGAATAAATTTTTTTTAAAAAAAGGGCCAGCTGTTAGAAAAGACAAACAGATCCTGTTTGGAAACTGGGAAGGCCATTGTTTAGCAAACTTTTTCTAGATATTAGTCTTGCAGCCATTGAAAATGTTTTTTGTGATTTGTGAAATAGTCCTTCAGCTTAGAAAATTCATTCTTCTGCTGGAAAGAACAGTTTAAGTTGGTTTCAAGATTATTTGGCATAAATACAGCTTTCTAAAGGGCAGGGTTTTTTCTTGTTATTCCGTATGTGAAATTTCAGCTTTATGAAGATTGTGTGGCTGTGAAAGGAAGGAAATTGGTGTAACATGTACTTGGATCCATTTATGTTCACAGAGGGAAGAAAAACAGTAAGATGGAATATAATTAATAACTGCAAATACAGCATCAAGGTACTGTGAAAAGGTCCTTGTAGTTTTTAATGCAGTTGTGAACAGATTATTAAAGTATCTGGTTTGTTTCATTGCAGCCGACCTTTCAGCATGTATCTTTTATCAGGTTCTTTAATCAACTTGTACCATATTCATTACACGAGTGAAAAGGCATGTAAAAGGTAGAGAACAGAACAAAAGGGAATGAGGTTTGTGAAGCATCACAGTGGCTAGAAGAGGGAGATGAAAGGTGAGTCATCATCTTTTCCAGAACCACTGGCACTCTTTTATGTTTATATTCCAAATGAGTCGGCGCTGTCTCGAACTCCTTTCATTACCCTCCCTTTTAACTCCTCTCTCAGTACAATGCACTTTGTCATGCAACCCCCGTTTTTCTCTGTATTTTTAATTTCTTTGAGCTTTTTTCTCTGTAGACCTGGTACTGGCTTGTTTCTAGTTAAAACTATCAGATTTAACTATGGCTGTAAGCATTAAATCACATGCAAAAGGACTTCTCTAAAAACAAGGAGACGCTCATAATTGAGTAGATTTTGAACATTGTTAGAATTATCTTCTTATCTACATTTTATAGACCAGAGGAAATTTTTACTGGTAATTCTCATTTCAAGCTTATACGAGGCATTTCTTCATACTTTCAAGCACACTAAAGACACTTTTGTATTTGTGAAAGAGGACAAAATAATAATATATTTAGATTTAAAATTAAGGCAAAGGATGATGAAATTGAGATGATGATGTACAGCTGCTGGCACTGCAAAAGAAAAATAAATGAGTACTTAAGTATCATCTAATATTCTAGGTTTGAAGCCAGTTGGTATCTGCAGTGTGCTTGCAAATTTGCAAGGAATAAATTATGATTGCATTTGGTTTTGGAGTGAGAATGTCTTGAAGTAAAGAACCGGCCTTGTTGCACACAACGTGAACAATATAAAATCAGAGTCACAGTTAAGAATAGCATCTGTAGTTATAAGGGATGGAGGAGGGATGAGTAGCTCCCTCTCTGCTACTCTGTTAGGTTAGCATGGTGTACAAACAGATGTGTGCTCTTTGGGACAGGGTTTTCCTTGTCACTGGAGAAGGCTGGAAGCCATATGTAGGCTGATAAGGAAGTCAACACATTTATAGTAACTGGGGAGGGGGCAGGGACAGACGCTGATTTGCCTTCAGCTGTGGAAGCTCTAACACCAAGTCTGTCTTTGAAGCCATAATATAAATTTTGATGGGGAAAACGTGTTGTGAGAAATGGCCTATTTGCTGTGCTAATTCCTTCTCTATTCTGGTGAAGATAAGAACAGTCTCCTAGGAGTATTGAAAGTAATGAAAAATGTAGGTATTTGTTTTTGTCTAGAGCAGTTTATGCACACCAGAATGCTGGCAAACCAGCAGTATTGCCAATCTGAAGCATTCAGAAGTAATGAAGTTCCTCAAAATCAATTACTTTATTACAACATAGGATGCTTTAAAATATGTGAATTATGAGAATGAAGGCACTTGAAGCCAAATACATTTTCATTTTCTTATTTCTATTTGAAAAATAAATTTCTTCCCGAATGTTATCAAATATAATACTTTTTCTCATCCTCATCTACTGAAAATTAGATCCTTATCTAATTATGCTGTTAGTAAGATGTATGCTTTTGAGATTGAATATTTTCAAAGCCCATGTCAGTAACTTGGAATTCTGTTAAAAGCATTAATGTGTTGATAAATGAACTATCTGTATCCAGTTTGGTACCAGATTTTCATTTATCATTCTTCCCAAATCATCTTAAGCAATGAGGTATATCTTTTTTTATGGAATACATGTCAGTTGTGTTAATGATTTTCCAGTGATATGGAAGTTTCCTAGAATATGTTTTGAGGTAAAGAACAGTCTTTTTGCTGCACAGTTGTTTTTATTCAGTTGTTGAAGATCTGTTGTGTGTGAAACCTGCCAGGCAGGATTTGGCCTGTGATGTGCAGGTGTTCATACATTTCTCTTAGCAAACCAGCTGAGCAAATATCACAGATAAAAGGTACACGGGGCAAAAATGGTAATTCTTAGGGTGCTCACGTTTGTCTTATAGATGCAGATGTTCCCATCTCTCACCCTGAGAGCTTTTTGCCTTCAGCTGAAAACCAAAATCTTCCTCTAATCAAAGTCACCCGTATTGAAACTAATTGGTCCAGAAGACAAATTGCCTTCCCTCTAAAAAGGTTGTGTGATGTGAACTCTCTTGGTGTAATGGGAGCTGTCTGTCTGTCTCTCTCATTAGTTAGGATGGTACATAAATGTGTTCCATTCAAATTAATGGGACACAAGCATTTATCAGAAAAGACATATTCATAAGCTGCCATAAATTATTCCATATGTATAGACTTAAATGCTTGTTGGAACAGGGTAATATAATGATCTACTATTACTATGTTATGAGTCAGTTATAATGGAGCTGTGCATCCTTCTTTCAGGCACGTGTAGTGAGCAAGTGACTGAGGCACATGGTACCAACTCTGGCAGTGAGTCATGGCTTGAAACGAGAATAGAATAGTTCTGCTTCACTATTTTACATAATCAAAACCTTGCATTGATTGCTTTTTCTTTAAATCTGAGAAATCCTTTTTGAAGTAATGCCATTCTTTTCTAATGAGAGAAATTTATGTAGAGGGAAATAAATAGCTTTACCTAGACTATATGTAAGGGAGTTACTCTTTCCATTTTCTTACAGACATCATCTTGCCTGTGTTTTTGCAATGATTCTTCTGCTTCTTATAGTTTTAACAG